CCATCCCGACTACTCGACTAAGCGAGGTTGGATGACAGTATGGCAGACGGAATCTTGTATCGACCATCTGCCAGGGCATGCTCTAATCCGGGCCCAGTGACTGGCTCGCATTCCTCCCTTGCTGCAGCTATAAGATCGCGTGCATCGCCGGATCGTCTCCCACGTTTCTTCTTTTGTTCAGACATTCAATTCCCCTCGTGACCCTGGTTCAAGTAAATATTGTTACTGAACTCGTCCAGAAAGATGTTCTCCAAGCAGACTCTGCTCTCCCTGGGCCTTCTGGCTCTGGCCTCGGCCAAGACTATCACTGAGGAACAGCCCACTGAGGCTGAGATCCAGGCTGCGCGCGCCTCTGTCCTCCCTTACTCTCCTGTCTCCAATGTCAAGGGTAAGGCCTTCGACCGCTTCGTGAATATCTGGATTGAGAATACCGTGAGTTCGAGTCTCCATCTGCTTGCTTGCAATGCATATAACTATGTTCGGACATGCCAATGCTAATTGGCCCATGCAGGACTATGAGACCACCGCCAGCGATGCCAACTGGGCCAAGATGGCCAAAGAGGGCATCCTGCTTACCAACTACCACGCCGTGACCCACCCCTCCGAGCCCAACTACGGTGCCTCCGCCGCTGGAGACACCTTCGGTATGGACAACGACGACTTCCACCAGATCCCCGCCAATGTCTCCACCATTGCCGATCTATTCGACACCAAGAAGATCGCCTGGGGTGAATATCAAGAGGATATGCCCCATGCGGGCTACCAGGGCTACCGCTACCCTCTGTCCGGCGCCAACCAGTACGTGCGCAAGCACAACCCATTGGTTCTGTTCGACTCCGTCACCAACGACGCCGTTCGTCCTCGCCAGATCAAGAACTTTACCACCTTCTACGAGGATCTGAAGCACCACAGCCTGCCCCAGCACTTCTTCATCACCCCCAACATGACCAATGATGCCCACGACAGCAACATCCACGTTGCGGGTGACTGGCTGGACAAGTTCCTGCCCCCTCTGCTGAAGAACGAGTACTTCAGCAAGGACACCCTGGTCCTCGTTACCTTTGATGAGTCCGGCAACTACACCGTCCCCAACCGTGTCTACAGCATTCTGCTTGGTGGCGCCGTCCCCGAGCACCTGAAGGGCACCACCGACAACACCTTCTACACTCACTACTCCGTCATTGCCTCTCTGTCTGCCAACTGGGGTCTTCCCTCTCTCGGACGCTGGGACTGCGGTGCCAACCTCCTCAAGCTGGTCGCTGAGAAGACTGGCTACGTCAACTGGGAGGTCGACACCAGCAACCTGTACATCAACGAGACTTACCCCGGTCCCCTTTCGGACAATGACTACTCTAAGTATGAGTCGTACTGGCCTGTCCCTGCCACTAAGGGCGAGTGCTCCGCTGGTCACGGTATCCTTGATATCGTCAAGAAGACCTACCACGGCCGCAAGGCCACCTACAACTACACCACTAGCCCTATTCCCTATGACTCGGTTAGCGGCAACAGTGTTGGTATCAAGTTCCACCGCTCTATCGTATGTTACCACCTTTTTATTCCTTGTTGAATTCCACTAACTTGTTTATAGCACGGCAAGGAGGAGACCGGCATTACCGCTTAGATGTGAGCGAGGTGACTCTTCAGAAGAAGTCCCAGGGAATTGATGCGTCCTTATGTATATATAAGAATCTAAAATGAATGCATGTGGTGGATGGCAATACATGATCAACAGTTGTCGACTTAAAGCTCAAGGCCATACTTCCAATCTCCAACTATGAACTTTGAAGCGTCTAGCCCAAGTCGGATTCGCTTTCGGACTCGGTATCAAGTCTCGACTGGAACCAAATTTCCTGACTCGTTCTCGTAAACCATCCACTTTCTTTGTTTGCTTGCCTCCACTCGTCTCCGCTTCTTCCGGGCTCGAGTCAACCGTTGAAATGGATCCCCCGATCGATCAACCCCACAGCAATAACCTCGAGTCAATGCAGTATTGATCATCCCTACTGGCTGTCATGACGTGGGTTACTCACTACATTTTCCAGTTCCAGCTATTGATACGCGGCAGTTCCCTCAAAAGGTTCATCGTTCTTTCGCCAGGTATCCCGGGGTCACGGGTAAGCTGAATCAAATCAAATCAACCCAACAACCAGTCGTCCATCTCCTACGGTTCGTCCCAACTGCACAAAAATAGAACGACTCGTCGTTGGCTGGCCCGCTTGTCCGTCTCCACTGTCAACCATATTGACGACTAAACGACAACTTCCAATACATCATTCATCCGGTTGATCCTCATATCAACCAATCATCTTGCTTATTGAAAGCAACTGACTTTATGATGATTTCAGGGTCATGGTTGTGCCTAGACGGTCGTTTATTTACCCTTTCCAGGGTTGCTTTTGCTTGCTTTGCAAACTTGCTCTCCAGCTGTGACGCTACATGGGGTGATATTGTTGATACGGTCGCAGATTCATGTCACATATCCTTGAATAGTACCTTTCAGCCACTCGGCCCATTTCGCTATACAGCTCTTTTTGCAACTCAATCGTCTCTCGATCTATCGATCTATCGAATGGGAACATACCTGCCCGCCACAAATCATTGACGTGGAGTCAAACCACGCTATGACCAAGGGGATCCCGGGAATGATCAAGTTGAGAAAGTTTCATTCGGCAATGCTTGCTCCTCGTCTCCACCGGCATTCTTCAAACAAGCGACTCACGTCGAGCAGAAGCAAAGCAAACTACGTACCCCGCACCAGTCAGTACCATGCCTGTGTCCATGTCTGTGCATTACAAGCTCTATTCCAGAAGCGGTTGATTGTTTCCCCTCAGAATTGGCAAATGCTTCGTTCAGTGAGCCGTGGTTAATGTATTGCCACTGCGTTCGCCTCAGGCTGTCAACCCCATTTTGTGATCAGGAGGTGTTGATGTGGATGCTATTATTGTCCACGAGATAAGGTCTCATTGGCCAATATTAATTGGTTTGCTTTCCTAAAACCCTCTCGTGTTTATTTTGTATGACGTCGACCATCCTGCCTCATCCTGTCGGTTCGCTTCGGCTATTCATCAGGTTTCTTTCCAATTCCAACAAGACGTCTATTGTCCTTTTTTATTTTGGCTATAAGTATGCCTTGTCTCACCTGTGATTTTGTTTCTCGACTATCATTCGAAGTTATATTCCAATCTCAATATCAAGCTTAATCTCTTCGGCCGTGACTCTTGGCCATTTATCTATTGTTTTTTCCTTTTTCATTATCAAGATGAGGGGCCTTATGACTCTGTTGGCTTCGGCCGCTGGCGCTCATGCCCTTGTCAATCGTGGTAATACCTGCTGCTTCCACCTCACTGCATCGGGTGGTGCTTCTGGCCCTGTTGGTCAGCTGAGCGATGGACAGAACCGGATTGGCGATAACAGTCTGTCCCCTGCACAGTTCTGCATTGACTCAAACGGCGCTATCACTGATGGCAGTGGCCGTGGATGTATCCTGACTCGTAGGTCACTTCTCATACAAAACCGGAAATGAAAGTTCGCTAACTGCCCTAGCTCCAACCACACAATTCCAATGCGACGTAGGAGCAACCCCTACTCCTGGCTTCTCTGTTAGCTCCAATGGCCAACTGGAATTCAACGGAAGCCCCAACTTCATCGCCTGTGAAACTGGCGACAATGGCGGTCTCAACATCCACACTACTCTGAGCAACGCTCTCGGCCAGTGCACGACTATCACTCTCATGGCTGACTCGTGCTCTAGCTCGACTTCTCCCCCGCCTTCGCCTCAGCCTAACAATGGTTGTGGCTCCATCTTGTCTGCGGGTAACTTTGAGTTCCCTCATCTGATTGTCCCTGTTGACTCCTCGTCCCCGAATACTGCATTCGGCACTCGTTTCAACGGGACTATCACCTCGACTATCTCGAGTATCTTCAATTTCGACATTCCCCAATCTGACTCCGGGAAGACCTGCAGCCTAGTCTTCCTTTTCCCCAACAAGGCAGATCTACAGACTTCGTCTTTCAGCTTTAGTGGCGATGGCAAGATTGATGTTGAGAAGCTTGCTAGTGTCGCTACTACCCAGACAACGTTCAACAATATGCCCTCTGTCGCGGAGGATCTGGGTGATATTACCGTCTCGCCTGGTAGTTCTTTTGTTATTTCCACCTTCTCTTGCCCGGCTGGCGAGGCTGTTTCATTCGAAATGAAGAATGCTGGTAGCACGGACCTTGACTTCTTCCAGGACTTCAACCCCGCCCCGTAAGTTGATGATTCCCACTTCCTCTGTCTTGGGTAAAGCTAACCTTCCTTTCTTTAGTATTGGTCTATTCATTACTGTCTGCTAAAGGTTGACACAGCTTCTGCTAATCCAATCCTTTGAAGTGTCGTCTAGGCATGAGACTGTATATTGGTCGTAGGGAGTCAATTGTGTACTCTGAATTTGTCATTTTACTGAATGTAACTGTACGGACTTTCACTCTCTTTATTTTAATAGTAAATAAGTTGGAATAAATAATAATTATTAAGTTTTCCAAACCAAGATGATCCCCACTTCGTATATGATAACTGATACCCGCAAAAATCATCAAGCCGACCTCCAAAATAGCAAAAATCAGCAAAAAATGACAAGAGTGGGATTCGAACCCACGCCCCCTTTGCGGAGATCAGGAAATTTGGAGTTAAGGTTGACCTTAACCTGACGCCTTGGACCAACTCGGCCATCTTGCCAATTGAGATAACTACTTGTTATGACGAAAATTCCCGGATTTTTTGGTATCAAGAGGGAGGAAAAAGAGGTGTGGACGAATAAATGTGCTCCACATTGAATTAGTGCACTAATTGTATAGAAGCTGCCATAATCAATAATCATACGATCAAAGTTTAATTTAACTAAACTTGAAGCTTATGATAAAAAAGAATTAAGGGCTCAATTGATAAATTAAAATTTAGTATACATTAATAAAAGCTGAGCTGATTGGCAAACGCAGCCCCCCCTTCTATTCCATCCAATTCACATAGCCATCATTCTCCGAACCGCTTTATTCTCAACGACATAACCACCACCAAGTCTGAACACACCAGGGCCCTGCATCTTAGAATCCATCTTTCCCATCGCCAATTGAGTCAAGAATGAACCAAGTTCAGGTGTGGGTGAATGGAACGATTTGTAGAAATTTCTGATCATGGGCATGAGAACGACTCCCATAGCTTTGTACAGGAATCCTTGATCTGGGAGATACGGCTTGATAGCGTCGTGTCCGGTTGGATCGACGCCTGCGGGTCGAACACTGTCCACTTGGAATGTACCTGGGTGTTTGGCTGATATCTCGCCGAGAAGTGTCTCGGTCTCGCCCTTGACCTTTGCGAATAGCTGCGAGAGCATTCCTGGTTCCTGGGTTGCTCCTTCGCCGGATACGTGGATGAATCGGAAAGGGGGGTTTGAGGGCTTGAGGGTGGAGAATGCATTTGCGGCTGCTAGGGCGTAGTCTTTAGTGATCTTGATGTATTGTCTGTTTATTTGTTAGATCGGGGCATTTTAAAGGTAATGCTTTGTGTTCAATGGAAAACTTTTCATACTCTTTGTCGACGCTGTTTTGGCTTATTCCCAACGCCCAAACGCATCCGTCTGCGTCTTTCAATTGCTCAAGTAGCTCGGGCTGGTATGTCTCGAAATCCTTATGGGTAATGACATGGACCCGGGGGTCTTTGGCATCTTCTGCCATTTTCACAGGTCTTCGACTGAGAATTGAGATTCTGGAGATTGCGCTGTTCTGGAGCATGGCGTCCAGAACGCCTGAGCCGACAAGGCCAGTGGCACCAGTGAGGATGAGATGCATATTGATGTTGTTGTAGTTAATCTGCAAAACTGTGTTGAGGATGATAATTTTCAGAATAAATCCAGCGATCGCCCAGTATTTATAGTATGAAGCAAGGCGCCCAAGTCCGTTGCTAAGTCCGTGATTCTTCCATTGCTGATGCTGACAAGATACTAACCCAAAGCAGAAATCGTGCTAAGCAAAACCCAAAGGAATGTGGGTTTTAATTTTTATGCTGATTGGCTATTGCATGTCCCCCACTCGGGCCGCAGTAGAAACGCCACGATGCCGACGGAGCAAGACTCGGTTTTAATCATGCTTTGACTCACTCAGGAAATAAGCATGATAATTCTGATGACTGTATTCAAACGCTAACTTGCAGCGCACTAATATGGACTTTTAAATAATTGTCTAAACATTATGATGGGGTATGAAGAGCTGAAGAACGCGAAGCAAAATCACAAAACCACTCTTGCCCTTCAATAGAAAGCCTTTTTATCCAGCAGCATAGGTACTACTGGCTCTAAGCTTCGCACCGTACTTCCACAAGAATATCGGAGCCGGGATGCCAATTGCGATCGCGACAAATGCGAGCACACTATTTCCCCAACCATAGTGTAAAGCGTCGTACATATAAGGCGCAAAAAGTGGGAATCCGAAGCCTGCGAGAGATCGCAGAAACGCTCCTGCAGCAAGAGCGCTAGCGGCATATCGCGTATAAGTGTCGACCATGTATGTCTGCATGCATTGGAAGGAAATAATCGTTCCTGCTCCGAAGAGGAGGGCGCCAATGTTGGGTGCGATCCAGTGGCAGTGTGACTGCGCGGTCCAGCCGTAAATGAATAAACCGGCAGGAATAAGGAAAGCTGCGACCCCAAGGAGTGGGACACGGAATTCTGGACGGCCGATGTTGTTGTTGCGTGCTTTCAAGCGGCGGTAGATGCGGTCGTTGAGCGGAGCGCAGAGTTGAGATCCACACCAGAAGCCCAGGCCAAGAGAGATGTAATTCAGACCCCCGATTCCAATGGACTCGTTGTAGTATTCCGGATTGGTCCAGAGAGAGGGGAAAGTTGAAAGAACGAGGTACATAATGCCGTAAACGTAGGCCATGTAGAGCGCAAGTACTTGGACGATAGATTGAGTGAGAAGTAGGCGGAAAGGTCGAATCAGCGCAGCGCGTAGAACTTGAGCAAGGGTCTTCTTCTGAAGCTCGGCTTCGGTTTGATAGGATTCATCGTTGGTTTCCTTTCGCAGTTTCTGGGCACGATCACGGAGAATGCGAGGAGCATAGGTTTCGCGAAGGAAGAAGAGGCCGGCCACTTGGATTATGCCATCGGTGATAGATGTCGCGTAGAAGACCCAGCGCCATGTAGTATTCTCCGCAATGAAACCGCCGGCGACGGGACCCAGTGCTGGGCCGAGAAGGGGGGCCAAACTATAGATTGCGATACTTTTACCACGTTCTTCGGGGCGGAAGCAATCAGATAAAACACCTCCTCCAACCTATTGAAATTAGAATTTATTTCTTTTAGCCCAATAAAAGTGAGAAGAAAACTTACAGCGAGTGGGGCACTGCCTCCCAATCCTGCAAAGAATCTGCATACAATCATTTGCACTTTGGTCTGTGAAACGGCACATCCGATATTGAACACGAGGAAGAACAAGTTTGACAGTTGTAGCACGATCACACGACCATAGATTTCCGATAGTGGACCCAGGAAGAGAGGACCGACGGCATAGGCAAGGACGAAGACGGAGAGCATCAACTGAGATACCACCTGGTCCGTAACGTTAAATTCAGCCGCAATCGAAGACAAGGCGGGCGCCACCATCGACGAGGAGACGGGTGAAATGAAGGTGAAGAACGAGACCGTGATGGTTGCGGCCCACTTCTTCTTGTTCGGCCAGTTCTTAGGATTCTCGGGGTCGTCGGGGCCGTCCCAATCCACCTGGAAGAGTTAGTAGCGTTAGTATTTTGCTGTTCTTGAAGCCTGAAGCGGCTGCCGCAGCTGAAGGTGGTACATACAAGTTTGGCATCCTGGCGAGATCTAGTCGAGCGAGCCGACTTTGATTTTTGGATCTCCGGGCTTTCTTGTGGACCTTTCTCGAGATCGACATCCCGCTCATTTACAATGCCGTTTCGCACCTCCTGGATGGTCTCGACTTTCTCGGCACCCAACGATTCTTCGTCGCTTGTCGTTGTGTGGTCGCTATGGTAAACAGACTGGTCATCAAGATGCTTGGCGGAGTGGACTCGGTCTAGATGTGGGGCTTGGGCATTGGGATTTGAGGTTGATCGAAGGCGAGATTTGATTGATTCTGCGAAGCCTTGAGGTCGAGATTCTGACCTGGATATCTCATTCACTGAGTCGGAGGAGGCACTGGAGCTGGAAGTGGAACTGCCTGACCGCGCATGTTGGTCTGCCATAGTGGACCATGCACTGGTATGGGAAGTCAAGAGGTGATGGGGAGAAGGTGATATGAATAGCGTATTCAAATTCAAAATCAAGAGCGACTCTTGTTGGATTGTAGATCTATGGTTGACAAAGAGACACACGAGCACGCCCTAAAAAAAGTAAAATCAAAACGCCAGCGGGGGTCCGTTCTTATACCAAGTTACATCACGGATGAGGTGCAGACCGACACGGACAGCATAAGAGTTCCGATGATAATGCACGGTGATAATCCAGGCTTAAGACCGTCGAAGTGGATTCGAGCATGTTGAAAATCGTGATTTCGGGTCATCTTATTGGAGGTAAAGGTGAAGCTTGACCAGGTACAGGGCCCAGGCCGCCCCGCCGATGAATTTTTGCATGAAAAATCCCAGGCCGTTTGCTGAACAGCGGCCTGAACCGGTGTGGCCACCGTTTAGAAGCGGAGAAATTTCCAAACAAGGTCGAATGAGATCGAATGAGAGGGCTTCAAAGTCACGGGAAGCGGGACTCCGTCCCCGGTTAGACCCCGGTTCAGGGATGTGACTCAGCAACTCGGCAGTTCGGCACGGAACACTGTAGTATACAACATTACTTTGTATAGAGAAGGTGATCATAGGCCATTATTGGAGTTTTGTATCAAAGATGATGGAGTCATAGTACTAGGTGACTTTGGGTTTGGCGGTCAAACGAATTGCCGGAATAATTTAATATGTACGAGTAGATTCAACAGCCCGCAGTAGCCAAGTAGTACTAACCAAACTAACCCAAAAAAAAGAAAAAGAAAAAAAAGACTGTATAAAAAGGAGAGACTACCCTTTTACAGGAATAGTAAAGCCCATCTTAAACGATAGGCAAAAAGATATCTCAGGTAAGGATTTTAGGAATAGCCGAACGGGGGGGTCGAACCCCCAACCTTGAGATTAAGAGTCTCACGCTCTACCGATTGAGCTAGCCCGGCAGGGCTGTTGTTTGGGGGAGCAGATTATGGCTAAATGAGGCAGATAGAACCCAGGTAGCATTAGTGAGATACTGCTGGGTGGCAGAGTGCCTCAACACCCAACCAGGAACAGAAAATCAACTTGTATAATTATTCGGAGATTAATTTATTCAGGATAAGATTATAGAGGAAGTCATAACATACCTAGATATATCAATAATTAACTATTGCAGTGTATTTCAGGGTTCTGAAATTATTCAGGACTCTGAGTCAGAAATATATATCAGTATACCTAATAGGGAATACCACCATAGGTACCTACTGGCACTCAGGGGGCTGGTCCTAAAATATCTAGGTACCCATGATCAATGGCAGTCATCATTTGAACGTTACCATTACTGTGCCAGTGATTGCAGTATTCTACATTGACCTGCACCTATAGTATAGAGGACCTCAGGTACTATCTCCCCCCGAGCGTTGAATTGAAAATACTACTACTAGTACCCAGGCTACTAGTAATACTGCTTCGATCAAAGGAGACTTCATAACTCATGTTCATATTCAACACACTAGTACTAGTATGTAACTAATTATTATCTTCCAGGGTCATAGTGAAACACTAAACGTGGGAACCCGAGCGTTCCACATGGGCTGCGGTGCCCTGTTGAGTGGCCATCGCCTCCATCTTCTCATCAACCGCCGCATCCTGCAGCTCGGCCTCCGCATTACCGTGGCGACCAATCTGGTACCAGGGCAGAGAGAAGAGACGATCCATGCTCTCGAGAGACCGACCAGCCGTCTCCGGAACACTGAACCACACCCAGGCACCACCAAGAATCGTCACGGCAGCGAAGCACCAGAAGGTTCCCTTGGGACTAATGCCACCCTCCGACACGGGAAGAAGCATGTTGGGCACAGCACGAGAGTTACCGTATTGATTGGCGAAGTGGAGAGTCATGGAGAGCGAGGTGCCCAGCGCACGGATGCGTAGAGGGAACAGCTCTGCAGTGAGAAGGTATTGCATCGAGTTCCAGCCAAGGGCCCAACCGAATCCGGAGATATAGATCATAGCAACAGCACCCCGGCTAGCTCCCTTCTGGCTCTCAGGTAGGACAAACCCGTCCACCACGCCCATCTCAGGCACAGCGGTGAGGAAGCCAGCGATGTAGAGCATGGAAATAGCCTGGAAGGTGATACCAAGGAGCAAGGCGCGCTTGCGACCGATCACGTCGACCAAGAAGAGAGCGCATGCAACAGCGGCGACAAGCTTGATGATACCAAAGACAGCGGTCACCAAGAGATTCTCGTTGCTTCCAGTGATTCCCAGGAGCTTGAAGAGATCGGTGGCGTAAACAGTGATAGATCCGGCACCGGACCATTGGGAGAGAATCTGGGCCATGAAAGTGAGGTAGACTCGGTATAGGTTGGAGGGAACAAGGAAGGTCTCCTTGAGGATGCCGATCGGACCAGATCCCATTGTCGCCTCCAGTTCCATCTGGTGGGCGCTCTGAATAGCATTGATCTCATTCACAACGTATTCGTGGTCGGCAGGGAGACCACGGAGTCGGGCAAGGTTCTCCACGGCCTGTTCATTTTTGCCGCGCTTGACAAGGTATCGAGGGGACTCATACTGTAGGAAAGAGAGGCAGAAGATCAGGCCAGCGAAGATGATGTGGAGACTGGTTGGAACCTCCTGTGCGGGGTGTTAGTGATGATCTCAATGGGATCGGCGACGGGGGAGAGGAAGAGGAAGAGGAGTAAGAACGTACCCAGCGGTTGTGAGTGTTATCTCCGAGGTTGACTTGACATCCATAGTTTGCGAAATATGCAAGGACGATACCTGCCAAGAGACATGTTGTTAATGACAACTGATCGCTGAGAACAAGCAACGCGCCAAGTCTTGGATGCGTTAGACTTTCTTGGCTGGAGACAACATACCGAGATAGACAAAACCAGTGAAGACGCAGGTACATAGACCTCGAATAGCAGCAGGGGCCTGATATTCAAGTTAGATTGGGTTCAACTTCGTGGTATCGAACCTCGTGGCGTCGAGGAGGGATGGGGGGTGGTGGAACATACAATTTCGGCAAGGTACACAGGCGCGACAACAACAGTTTGGCCAACACCGAGTCCAGCGATGAAACGACCAGCATAGACAGCACCGAGAGAACCATTGTTACCCATGAAAATAGCCATACCGATGATCCAAAGGACACAGAGTTGACGAGTGGCCCAGATACGACCAATGCGATCACAGACCAAGAAGGCGCTGTTGACAAGAAGGTCAAGATTAGCAACAGGAAGACAACGAAATGAAAACCCGGAAAGAAACACGCGAGACGTACAAAAGAGCACCGCCAACAGAACCGATTTGCACCATGGCTGTGACATTGGCCTTGATGTTGGTCTGTTCAGTTGTGGAGTAGGATTTATAGTTGATGTAGCGTTGGAAGTCCTTAGAGTTGAAAGCACCAGAAATGAGACCTTCGTCGATACCGCGCGCCGCTCCCATCAAACCAAACGAAACGACTGCAAACCAAAGCTTCCAGTTGAAGATTTCCGATGGTTCACCGGTGTTCTTCAACCGGAAGATGTTGATGGGCTTCTTCGCACCGCCAGCCATGGTGGGCGATTTCACAGTAAGATCAAGATCGACTTGAGAAATATAACTGTGAAGCTGAAAGAAGACTCAAAGGCGAGGGAGAGAAACTATCGTAGGGAAGGAGAAAATAAAAGATCACCAGCTGGTGAATACGAGGGGAAGCCCTTTAATAGCCTCGCAAGACCGGGGGGTCCTTGCGATGCGGGGAACTTCCGGGGCATGGGGGATGAATTGAGGGGCATAGATGAGGCAAATCATAAAAAAGTAAATTATGGACTCAACCTCGCGTATACTCCGTACCAATTAGTGCTATGGAGCTCGGCATTCCACCATGCATCTGGCATCTCGTTGCGCACCCCAGATTCCCAAACCCGACTATCGGTGGGACGGAACGGAGCCGGCCCAGGCTGGGGGACAGCGCCAAGTGAGCTTGCATCCCGAGACGAGACAGATGGCCGATCATTTCTATTCGACGGAATCGCCGGTAGGTCAGGCTTGTTAGTTTTTTTTTTTTTGTCTTTTTTTCTGGCCGAGGTTACACCGGTGTCCTGATCCTGCGACCCGCAAAGAAGTGGCGTGCAGCGTGCAGTTCACAACTCAGCAATTATCACGGTTAGTAGTTTAGAAGCAACAGACATAAATCGCAGAAACAAAATCGTGTTAGCAATAAAAAATATCACGGACGGAGAAAAATTCCCTTTACTGTCCTTCCTACATCGCTGGATAAACCTCGGTGAACTTCCGCGTGGAGAGGCGTATGTGCCGCAAATGCCAAGAAGCCACTCCACGGGGGGTGAAACCGGGGTAGGCCTACCATGACACTTGACTTGCTTCTGATTGGCTGGTCAATAGAAAAGGGTATCGCGTGGACTTAGCGTGGGGGGAAAAAGCTGGGAAAAATCTCCTGGAACCGCACATGGTGGACTTGGGGCTGGAAGTCTATCTCTTGCAGTACCGTCCGTGCGAAGGAATATTGGGTTTGAGGCACCACGCCATTATATTACAAGATTTTGCTCGGCGATGCTTCGACAGTCGCCTTGGTTTCTGCCGATTCCGGGAGATCTGGTCGGCCTGTTGCGATGCTAGAGGGGTCCGGATTTCGGATCGGTTAAATACTCAATGGATCACGTACTCGTATGTCAAGCTCACGATCCCTCGGAGTTTTAGTTGGGGGCCATATGCTACATCGTTCCACTAAGTCTTGGCCAGGCTACCTCCGGACATGATTTGGCGTGAAAATTCTGCTTCTCGCATGATCATGTTTGTGTTGATGTGATCGGTCTGGTTCACCGAGGGGTTGGATAATTACGACAGGCTCGGATTAGTTGCCTAAAAGCGCTAGATCCAGACACCTGGTCGGGCCGAGAAATGGTGATTTGTACGGAGTAGAGAGACTGCGAAGCAGATTACTCCGTGGATGTTCATTGAACAAGGCTGAGAGTGATGCAGCCCTAAGGGACACACAACCACTCAGCGTCTCTTGATATGCAGGTCGTAAGATGCGGTAGATTAGAAGTCAACTAGGCGTGGCGTATCAAAATATCCATATCCTTTCACTACGCTCATCTCGTCGATTTCGGCGAATTTGGTCTTGAATGTCCAGCCCCCAACCGAATTCTGGAGCATGTCACACCGAGTGCCAGATTTCTTGGCCGTTGTTCGCTTTGTTCGCTGCCACAAACAGCATCCCATCACGCCTAGTTCGGAGACTGTCTTTCCACCGTCGAGACATGCGGGTCCCACCAGGAGATTGTCCGCGTCCGGGGGTGGATCTTCTCCATAAGAATATACCTTGACCAATGTGTGATCGGAGTTGACTTTAAAAATGCCGGAATTGCATCCCCGTATACATTGTTGCCACCCCCTCGAGGGATGGCTTGAGAATATAATTGGTCGACCGTTTAGGATCGCAGGCTATCCGCCGAGCTTCCAGACCTTCTGTGGATTCATCCAAAGGATAAACCGGAACAAACGTCTCACGAATTCTGGCGACTTCGGAGGGAGATAGAAATCGCTCCAATGCCCCTGACTTCGTCAAAGCCTGTTGGACTTTTTTGAAAGTAGTCAAATGTCCCAGCACCGAGGGACATTTAATTGCAGTGGATTTCTCTAACTGTAAGCGGGAATCCCAGCCGGTTTTGCTGTACTCATGCGCTTCATAGCCAGCTCTTTGATAAACGACCGATATCTCCACTGGTTTCTCTGATGCGAGCCACGGTGGGTGGAAGAGTAATGCCCGTTCTTCTGTGAGCTGGGTATACTTGAGTATGTCTGGGAAATCCAGCCGGTAATTTGGAACAATATCGTCTCGATTCCAGAGGGCGTACTCGATCGGTCGCTCATCTGCGATGTTGAACTGGATTCAGAGTTAATCTTGCCTTGATCAACAGGGAATTGGTGGGACTGACATTGTAAGACTGAACAATGAATAGGATCGCTGTCTTACTCGCCAGCTTGCTCCTTGGCGGACCATATTCTTTGTGTGCCAACGCAAGGATCGAGGCGGCAGAGTCGATATTATGATTTATAGGCAAGGAGTCCACAGGAAATGGCTTGTCATTCATATCATACACCCCTATTCTTGCGAGATGCCGGTGCATGTTGGCAGCTTTGTTTGCATGTGAAAAGCCAGAGCATGAATATGAGTTGAACTCGACTTGCTTCAATGTTGTCTTGGACAAGTCCCCCCCATCGATCAGCTGAAGCTGCCTCTGTCAGATGGAACATATAATCGGAGCGAAATACACCGGCAGAGATATCTTGTACATATCCTGCATCCTTCGCGGCCTCGTAAATCCCCCCAGAGAGCCTTGGCGAGGGGCTCAGCGGCAATCATGTCCTTGATTGTGTCGTAAATCCATTCTTCATCTTCGGCAATGGAACAATATAGTTTGTTATAGATTTCTTGAAGACCTAATGCCTGCTCAAACCGTGCCCGGGGCAAGGGGGAAGGAAAACACTGGGCAATATTGTTAGATTGCATCGCATCGCAGGTTGGGTCCCAGGAAAGTCACCCACGCTAACACCAACAGGATACGAGAGAACACTATTCTCTGTCTCCGAGTCGACTTGCTTCAGCAGCGAGCCGTGGTTGATTTGCCAATCCTATTTTGCGTTGTTAATTGCGACCGACGAAGGGGGGAGGGCGGATCGAGACTGGGAATGGATTGTACCTTGATCTGTGATACCAGGGAGAACAGACGATCCTCGCTCAGATCTGGAGGATAATCCTCATCATCCATGCAGTGCAAAGTTGCCATGTTGGTGGTGAGGAACTGGTGAACCGTGGGTTGAGGCTCATAGGAAGATAGTCCCGCGTGGCGGGGTTGGCGGGGAGGAAATCGTGCAAAGTCGGAGGCAAATTTGGGGGCAAAAGAGGTGACGTCTTTCAAATGGGCATTTCATAGCACGAAATACCTTCTACATCTCGCCCTTCACGCCTTTTCTTTCATCAACGCTGCTGCATGACCTGCCTGGCTTTGTCTCTCCAGGCGACCTATTTCGTCGCATCCCACGATGGTCTCAATGCGCTGTAGATCTAGACCTCCACCAAAATACCATGCCGAACGAGTTCGATGAACGCCCAAATTGAATCCAGCGCGCTCTGGATTACCCCTTCCAAGAAGACGGATCCGACATTGCACGGTCGCGAGGGTCGCCATGGTCCAAACTGCTGAGACATATTGGAGAAAAGTACTGATAGTCGTGCCAATCGTTGGCACGACTGTCGCAACAATCGTATACGCACTTCGTCTTTATGCTCGGCACTTGGTCATACAGAAACTGCGAGTCGAAGACGTGCTCATGGGTATAGGTCTGATCTTTACCTGGGGTGTTGCAGTGTGCACTGTCTATGGTAAGTGAATTCGATAAAAGATGACTTATCCTTACTAAACCTTTGGTACCTCAGCGGCCTTCCATGGCGTTGGAAACGGGAGAATTATTTGGATCTTAACCCCTCAAGAACGGCTGCGCATTGCACTGGCATGTCACAAAATAAGAGCTCAAAAGTTTATCGGGGGTATCTGACTTCTATAATAGGCCGACTGGATTCTGCAGAAGTTTTGGCCCGCGGCTCAAGTCTTCGTCAAAATATCGATCATTCTTTTCCTTCGCCGGCTCCTTGATTGCGTCCAAAGTTTTAAAATATATGCAACAATGGTCATCGTTCTAGTGGTCGCGTGGGGAATTACTGCGATCATGGGAAATACCTTCCAATGCTGGCCAGTACAATACTTTTGGATCAAACACATACATGGTGACTGTATGAGTGGTCAAAATACGTTTTTCATCATCATTGGCTCCGTGTCATTGGCCCAGGATGTGCTCATTCTATGCCTGCCACTACCGATAGTATGGAAGCTACAGACCCCATTGAGACAGAAGATTGAAATTACGCTGCTCTTCTCAATTGGTTGCATGTATGCGACAAACTCCGGCCAAAGTAAAAACCCATAGCTAATTCTTTACAGAGTCTGCATCTTCAGTGTATTACGATTGGTGGCTTTGAGAGAATTCCAAACAGAAGACTTAACAGGTGGGGTTTATCTTTCAACAGAATGACATTCCATAAGTTAACCTGGCGTCTTTTGCATAGAACACAGCTCCTTTACCCTGCTCTGGACAATTTTGGAGCTCGACGTAGCAATCATATGCGGATGCCTCCTTCTGATGAAGCCCTTCTTCCAATCCTGCATAGGATACATGCGAAACGGCACCACACGGCTGAGCAGCGGATCTCAGTCCCGTGGCTGATATAGAATGTTCGTTACATTATTGAGTGACCGTGCTTGGCGGTCCCGTGTTGAAAGACGTGGGCCTTGAGATGGCATGGAGGCCTGAGCAACGATAATTTTAAACATAAATGGCTATGAAAAGAGAGTATACGATTAATGAAAATCAAAATACATCAGTTCGCCCTCGCAAAGGTGACATGCGCCCAAAGCGGGAGGCTTCAGATAATTGTCATTAATACTAATACTAGGCCAGGCTCAGATGATCACATCCGAATTGGTAGAAATCATCTTTCAATTCCCGCAAGGGGCGGAAGATCCGTGACACGTATAGTGTAGGTTAAAATTCTCAACAGGGTTGTGTCATCTAAGTTTGTACCAACCAATGGTCAAGTTCCGGATAGCTAGCAGGTTGCATCCTAGTATTCGAAGAGAGCTTCAAGCTTCAAGTGAGTGAATACGAGGATAAGTTGTATGTGTGTGTGAGTGTGTGTGTGAGAGAGAGAGAGAGAGAGAGAGAGAGAGAGAGAGAGAGAGAGAGAGAGAGAGAGAGAGAGAGCGAGCCAGAGAGCCGAATCATCACAAACAAGGAACATAGAAGGCGGTCTACCCAACATACACGACAAATTCTCAACTCGGAGTCACAACTTCTTTCTTCTTTCTTCTCCAAGCATCACCCCCATCATGCTGCGTTTCTTTGCTACACACGGCAGAAGGACTCTGTCCCCTGTCCTCGGTTCGTGAGTCCCGAGAGAGAGAGAGAGAGAGAGAGAGAGAGAGAGAGAGAGAGAGAGAGAGAGAGAGAGAGAGAGAGAAAGCGAGCCAGAGAGCCGAATCATCACAAACAAGGAACACACACAATTATCTGCCTATAAAATAACCCAAAAAGGCTAAATATGCAGTACCAGAATATTTGAATGTTACGTCAGTGTCTTGGAAAGGTACCTCACCGGAGGGATATCTAATACTATATACCGAGATTTAGAACCAAGAGTTTGTCATGCCTGGGGAAAATTCTTGGCTCCAGTCCATGCGATCAAATAAAAAAGCCTTCAGTTTGAGCTGTCCTGAAACGATACGGGGCCGGAGCAAAACACGTTGGGGTTCCGCCTTGCCAAGGGCGCCTAGTCTTGCGTGCCTCTATCGACATGGCGCCTACTTTGGGTAAATCAAGGAATTTTGCCTTGAATTTGGGTTTCATGTTGTGAATATGAAAGTCGTGGACTTCACTGATCTAAATTTTCGCCTGCCCCTAATTCCTGTCCGGGTAGGGCTTGGCCCCGTGTAGTTGGCTATTCTTGCAGTGGCGCTCCTTAGCCTGGCGTTTCTTCACACCACTAACCTCCCTGCAGATGTGACTAGCAAAAATCTAATTTGCCTACAGTAAAATAGCCGTCTTCTTGTTTGACTCAAAACCAGCGATGGTTTGAACCTACGGAGGAGGCCCCATCGAGAATGATTGAAGGGGCATAAAAACCAAGTTTCTGGCATCTTTTGAAAAGGATTTCATTCACCCAAGCGACTCGACGAACAAACTTCTAAGATAAGATTTCTTCTAAGTTTGAAGTTCGTCTCCAAATATCATATATCTGGAAAATGCTACAGATTGTTACCCCAATCTTCCTAGCCACACTGGTGGCCAGCCATGGGCATATTAGCAATATCGTCATAAACGGCGTCAGTTACGACGGATGGGACATCAATTCATATCCGTATTCGTCTGATCCACCTGTTGTTGTGGCATGGGGTACTCCTAACACTTCAAATGGATTCATTTCGCCAGGTATGATGTCCTCCCGCGAATCTTTTATCGCGGCTCAGCGGTTCTTCCTTCTGAACTAACACTAAAAAAATTAAAAAAAAATTAAGATGCTTACGAGACGGATGACATTATCTGCCATTTGAATGCAACGAATGCCAAAGGACATGCTGTCGTTGCTGCTGGAGACAAGATCAGTCTTCAATGGACCACCTGGCCCGATTCGCATCATGGACCTGTTATTACTTATCTAGCTAACTGCGGGGACTCTTGTGAGAGTGTTGACAAGACAACACTGAAATTCTTCAAGATTGATGGAGTGGGTCTTGTCGATGACACCGAAGTTCCAGGAACTTGGGGTGATGATCAGTTGATTGAAAACAACAATAGTTGGATGGTCGAAATTCCACCATCGATTGCACCCGGAAACTACGTAATGAGACATGAGCTGATTGCGCTTCATAGTGCAGGATCAGAAAACGGTGCTCAGAACTATCCTCAGTGCTTCAATCTGCAAATCACTGGCTCGGGAAGCGATGCGCCCTCAGGAGTCCTGGGTACCGATCTCTATAGTGCAACAGATACAGGAATTTTAGTGAATATTTACGCTTCGCTTTCGACTTATGTTGTTCCGGGTCCAACTTTGTATAGCGGAGCTGTCTCCATCAGCCAGGCCTCTTCTGCCATCACCGCCACTGGAACTCCGGTTACAGGATCAGGATCAGGGGGTGCCAGTACGACAGGTGCTGTCACGACCACGGCCACGACCACTTCATCGAACGGTGCATCATCTACCACGTCGGCTACTACCAGAGCTAGTACCACCACTTCTACAACCACTAGCCGATCGACAACTTTTACAACCACCACAAGCTCCAGTGGAGGCAGTGCCTCGACCCAATCAGTTTACGGTCAATGTGGAGGGAGTGGATGGTCTGGTGCGACGGTGTGTAACTCGCAAGCGACCTGCACTGCGTACAACAATTATTACTCTCAGTGTATCCCGACCTCTTGAACTGTTGGTATTATAGCTAAAGAAGGGGATGTTGAAGTGCTCTGATGTTGCTAACGCCGTATTGTATTTACCTTTGAATGATTCTGTCCTTTTCATATCGCATTATATTCGCACTCTTCGATATTTTCTCATTTGATTATCACCGGAAATCGTATTTGATGAAATAAAGCGAATGAATTGTTCAATTTGCCTCGTGTTTTGCCGGAAAATACTACTCCGGACAACCCAAAAACTCCGATTGGTTTAGACCTGAGCATCCGAGCACTGTTCCCCGCAAATACTTACCGCGTCCGACGCGTCAGGCTCTCCAAAACTCTACACGCATCACTCCGAGGTCAAACATTCCAACCCTTCAAAATGGGCTTAGACGATCACACCAAGCTTCCTCTAGGATACAGTCTTCACGATGGCTACCCTTCCGTTCCTCACTATCTAGACCTTCGTGCAGCATCCGGTCTGTCTCCAAAAACACAATCACAGGCAACCGCCATTTCCACGGGAAGTTGGTATGGTTGCTACATCACATACGACGCACCCGGCGAAGAGTCATTGCCGATCGGAATGGGAAGAATAATAGGTGATGGGGGCTGGTATTTCCATATCGCAGATATGGCTGTCCATCCAGAACATCAGAGGAAAGGGTTTGGGGGTCTGATCCTCAAGGCGCTTCTTCAGAGAATACATGCAGAATCCCCTGCAGATGGCAAACCCTACATTACGCTATTTGCCGATGAACCTGGACGGAAATTGTATTACAAAAATGGATTTGTGGACTCGGCACCAGGGGAATTAGGCATGGCTTGGAAGCCATAGTGCATATACAACGGGAAAACAAATGTCAATCTACATGATCTCCGCCCTTTCGACTATCTTGCCTCTCCCGGTGATGAATGATCATAATAATCATCCCGCGAGTCTGAACGCCACCTACGAGGTCCGTTTCTCTCTGGCAGGACTTCTACTTCTCTAGGGCCTCGGTTACCAGTTTGACTTTTCCCCGACATGGGCGGGGGAGGAGATCCACAGGATTATTCCAGAATCGTGAACTCACGGACTCAAAAAGGCAGCGGGGCACAATCAATGATTGTATGTATCAGTACTATTCTCTCTTTTTTTTCAGCCCATGTAGTGACACGGCATCAGAGTTATCCCCGTGTATGTTCTCTGAATCCCTGGGTTCCCACATTCTGAGTCCTGGATTTTTCTCTTATCGTCACATCTCTATTTTCCCGCATAAATATTCAATGCAATGGATCGATAAGATAGCTGTTCGCTGAGAATGGCATTAGGGGGTTCAAGTTAGCCTGGGACCATTTTTTGCCATGGTGTTTCCTTTTTTTTATTCGACGATGACCCACAGAGAAAATACGAGGAGGAAGAAAGTATTTCATAGTCGTGACGAGTATATCGATTTTTTTTTTCAAGAGAGTTGCTTTGTGGTGTACGATGAAGAAATTGTGGATATCTATTCTATTCTAATCAATCTCGGTACCTAAACATCAGTGGGGCCGAACCTTCGTAATCAATACGATGGACCTCCCTGAGGAGATGTCTATTGAGCATAGCGCAAGTTATGCAAGCCCGTTCGCACGTGTGGCCAATCATTGGCTTGTAGACGTACTCGGTGGGGTCGCTTACGGAGTTGGTGGATGTTGCACCAAACAAGGTATGCCATCACCAGGAGACACGGGATCATGGATCCGCTCATCAGCCGATGGATCCGCGTTTGGTTGACTGCCCACCCGTATAAAAGGGTGCCTGGTAATGATCGGCTTGGATGATCGATCTCGAAGCCGTCGCCGTATACGCTTTTCACGATGCGAGTCAACGTTCTCTCTGCACTTGTCGGGTCTCTTGCTCTCGCAAAGTCTTCCTTGGCAGTCAATATCATCTCATCGAATGATGATGGCTGGGCGGAAGTGAACATTCGCGCCTTCTTTGACGCTTTAACAGAGGCCGACCACTCAGTTGTTGTCGCGGCGCCTGCAGAGAACCAGAGTGGAAAAGGTTCGCTAGATATTTGCCACCAGCTTCTGCCACTGTCACTAACTTACCTCCCACAGGATCCTCTCAGGGTACTCCGACGACACTTGATGAGGCGTGCGAGTTCAACAGCTGCCCTTCTGGTAGTCCGGCTGTGGGGCATAATGCCTCAGAGCCTCGTCTGAATTATGTCAATTCTTACCCTGCAACTTCAATGAAGTATGGTATCAACTCGATCGGTCCTCAATTTTTCGATGGCTCCCCCCGATCTTGCGGTCGCGGGACCAAATGTACGTACTTGAAGCACTAGTAATTCATCACGAAAATCGTACTGATATCAGCAGGTTGGTTCAAACATCGGACTCGCAGTTTACATCTCCGGGACGGCTGGAGCAGCTACCTACGCGGCGCATTATTCTGGCATTCCTGCGATCGCATTTTCTGGAGCGACTGGCTCTCAGACAGCTTGGAACGCCTCTTCAACCTATCCCAATTATAGCCAAGTCTATGCAGATGCGGCCACCAACCTCACCAACCACCTTATCGCGGCCGGGAAGCCTTACCTTCCAAATGATGTATGTCATTCGCACCCTACCCAAACACCTTGGACTAACGAAATATTGTAGATTTGGCTGAACGTCAACTTCCCGTCTGTTTCGGACTCCGAGTGCACAAAAGCCGAAGACATTTCTTTTGTGTTGTCGCGCATTCATGTTGCGGTACCTCTAATCACACCGGACGATGTAACTACTTGTGGTGGAGATCGACTGCCAAGCGAGATTGGAGTCTCTTTGACCTCGGGATGTTATGCAAGTGTGTCAGTTGGCATGGCAGGTACCAAGGGAGATGCAAACGCCACTATGCAGGAGATTGTTCTGAAGAAATTCAGCAACCTGCTCACTTGCCTACCTTGATTGGCGGAAATTTTCCATGTATATAGTGCAATACCCGACAAATATTAATGCAAATCTGATTTCCATGCATTTAAAAAAAATGACGCGGTTTGCTATTCCTATTTAAGAATCCGTGATAATCTTGAGATGTCAACTTTAGCCACGTCCGGGGATTAGATTGCTGTGGATAGAACGGTGCCTGCATGAGTCTTCATGGGGCTAGAAAGCCATTTGCAAGCGAAACAAAGAAAGCCAGGTGAAACGAATCACTGATAATCGCGAACCCACGGGGATCGACCTCCTCAGAAGCTAGCGGGTGGTTCTCGGCCACTATCCCAATTCGGGATCGACGGCCGCTGACCGTTTTCAACTCGGGTATTCTCCGGTTCTGCAGAGTTCGGCGATTTTACCATATTGGTTCGAAGCAGGTCTTGAGAGGAAGCTTCTGAGACGATCTTGAAGAATATAAAGATAGCTATGAGAAAGGAGAATGGCAAATCATAAAATAACATTCACAATAGAAAGGGTGTCAAAAATGATATCTCAGTTATTTCTCAGTCTCTTATCTATCGCCCATTTATCCGCGGCATCTCCCCGACGAGGAATCTCTCGGCGAGGAACAGTCGGTTCCGATGATATAGTCGGCTTTGCACAGACTGTCCCGTCGGGCACAACCGGTGAAGTCTATCTGGCTTACCAGCCAGATCTGTATGTTGTCAATGGATGCGTGCCATTCCCGGCCGTTGATGCAGACGGAAACACCAAGTGAGTATTGAGGCCTCCAGGTCCACTGATATATAGCCTGTGGCTAATGATAATAGTGCTGGGCTGGATATAACTGGCGCTTCGGACGGGGACTGCAGTAGTAGCACCGGCCAAATTTACGTGCGAGGACAGGCTTCTGGCGATTATTACGCATTGCTCTACTCTTGGTACATGCCGAAAGATGAGCCGTCATCAGGCCTCGGTCATAGACATGATTGGGAGGGCGTGATTGTTTGGCTGTCTAGTTCTACAAGTACAACGGCAGCCAACATTGTTGCTGTCTGCCCTAGTGCCCACGGTGGTTGGGATTGCTCGACAGATGGCTACACTCTTGATGGAACTGCCCCGTTGATTAGATATTATAGCATCTGGCCCGTGGATCATCAGTGTGGACTTACCACCACAGTTGGTGGCACGCAACCCCTTATTGCCTGGGAATCCTTGCCAGCTGTTGCACAAAGTGCATTGGATACCACTGATTTTGGTGATGCAAATGTTCCATTCAATGATGGAAATATGGATTCAAACCTGGCAAAGGCTACGTTTTAGATTCCATAAAGGCCGAGCCAACTCTGCTGTATTTGAGAACAATCAATGAAGGGATATTGGTTTCGCGTTCTATGATCTTGGTCTATTTATAATGTAACGCAATAAAAGTAAAGAATTGGAAGATATTAAAAGGAAAATTGCCGCATGTGAAGACAAAAGGAAAGATGCAAGGATCAACAGGATGAAAATGAATGTTCGACAGCGCGGATGCGATGTTGGGGCTTGAAAAGCCGATTTTAGACGAAAAGAGGACCTTTCACTCGGATCGGGCGCTTTTGGTTTTCTTGCTTCTAAGCTTCATCATAAAAAACACAAGGGCATATGAGGTAATGCAAAAGAGAGCAGTAATTCCAGTCTATTTTACCATGTTAGAAAGCTGAAGATGTGAAAGGGTTAGAACACTCACGTCTCTCCAGGAGTAGTATTTCTCTTGTAAGTTGAAAGTTTTGGCATAGTCAGCGCCCGTCGAGTATTGACAAAAGGAGCAAGTATCCGTTGAATTTGAATCCAGCAAATAGCCAGCCTGGGTTGAAAGAAAGTCTGTCATATATTGACCGCATGTCTGGCCAGACGGAGCGCTAAACGTGATGTATTCGGATGGTTCACATTGAACCTTGACATCCCAGAGAACCTCTCCAAGAAGACCACCCACAAGATAGGTGAACGGGTCAAGGTAGTACATCCAATAGCGCCAGAATGGCTGCATCTGACTGTAGGGTACAACAACTCCGCAGAAGCTGACCAATCCAGCCCCAATAAGGACAGGGTTCATAACCGCAGCAAAATACTCATTTGGCGCGTAAGCGGCGATAGCTTGGCCAATCGAAGTATACAGAAACTCGTAGACTGTTCATAATTTAGTTAATGCTGATCTAGACAGCGGGTATCTGAGAGATAGCACGTACATATCATTTGAAGATAAAAGTGGCCCGAAATGCTGGCGAGACTTTGAAATCCGGCAGTGAAGTAGAAACAAACAAAATAGAGCGTTGCGCAGATGACGAGATAAGGAATCTCGGTAATTGTCTGAGCACCAATGAAAGCAATCCAGTGATAAGTTTTAGACTGCCAGTTTAATATAGGTTAGCAAAGTTTCCGTAGCCCGAAAGTCGGCGATATGGCCTACCTTCTTTTCGCGTGTCTCAAAGATATCGCGATTGTGGAGAAAGAAAGGCTGCATCTGGTTAATGCAACCAGGAGCGACAAAAATGAAGTTGAAGATGGCGAAAAGTCGCAGTTGGAGAGAAAAGGTGCCGTCTCCAATCTTCCAAAAGGTGAATCCGCTGAATAAAGCAGCGAAGATATGGAGAATCATCTTGTTCCACATATAATCCTTTTATATGGTTAGTAATTTTCATCAAAGCGCAATAAAAAAAACAATTATAGTGCAAATATCTTACGGGTGACCGCCAAATCTGAATTGTAAGGCGTTTTGAAACCACCTTGAACTGAAACCAGCGGGAGGTAGCAAAGTCCGCAGTATCCTCCACATAATTGGGATCGGCCATCCCGGCCGCATTCAAAGCGTCAAGCTCTTTGAGTGCCATTTTTCGTTCTTCTGAGTCTTTCCAAACGTCGACCCAGTCGGCTCCATTATTCGCACTCCCTTGAATGACATCGATGATGTGTTCAGCCGGATTGGCATCTGGTGGACACGGGCACCGTTGCGTGAAAAATAATCCAAAATCTTGTTCGAGTCTTGGCCAGCTAAGAAACGGTTAGCTATAGGATAGCTCTATTTATGGGCTCGAATGCTTACTTTCGCCAAAGTAAGTCATCTTGCCGCCCTTTGCCAGCAGCAAAAGGCCATCGAATGCATCGAACAGAACGGCAGAAGGCTGGTGAATCGTACACTAGAGAAAATTAGTCTTCACAATCGGCAAACGTTTACGAAATGAACTTACCAATACAGCTTGTCCTCCATCAACAAGCTTCCGAAGAAATCGAACAATGTTATAAGCACTCTGGCCATCCAGACCAGAGGTTGGTTCATCCAGGAAAAGCAAGGTAGGCTTGGCCACGAGCTCAACACCGAGAGTTACGCGCTTGCGTTGCTCAATACTGAGACCAGCTCCGGGCACTAGAAGTATTTAGTAACTACTGGGCCATCTCATTGAGTAAACTTGAGACTCACCTCCAATAAGCGCATCACTGATATCGCGAAGCTCCAAAAGATTAATGATGTGGTCGACATAGGCAATTTTATCGTCGTAGGAAGTACTGGAAGGTTGCCGAAGTACCGCAGAAAATATAAGTGCTTCTCGTACGGTCGCGCTTGACTCGTGCACATCCAACTGCTCACAGTATCCAGTCATTCGCTGAAAGCTGATCCCTTGCGGGCGTCCATCAATGAGGATTGATCCGTAAATTTCACCAGAATCTTTGCGTTGTGCAAGAACATCGAGTAACCTGGAAATTGTGCTGTTAGAAACCTTTATCAGACACAGAGCAGTTCTTTACTCACGTTGTTTTCCCAGCACCAGAGGCACCCATCAGAGCAACCAGGTTTCCAGGTTTCACAAACCCAAAAACCTTGTCAAGCAACTGTTTCTTTTCTCCATTGAAGGGAACATGATAGTCAAGATTGTTCCATGTAAATGTCGAATTCTTGACTGAGCCCCAAAGAGCGCCCATGTCTCCAGGCTGCTCGCTTTTGGCTGATATATTCTTTTCGCCCAACTGATGCTGATTCTGATTCTGGCTTCCACGTTTGTAAAGCAAGACTGAGGACCCACCTTGGCTATTCTTCAACTCGAATCCCAGCGAGGTAAGACCAATGAAAAATATCCAAAAGCCAATGATAATACCAAAGCTGCGCCAGATGTGATGGAATGAATAGCTGTACTGCTCCCTGATATAGGCTTCCCCGCTAATCACGCCGTCCTTACTTCCAGGGACCGAACATCCCCTGTGAAGCGATACTGAGCTAGAGTAACCTGCGCCGTATGGGATGTAATCAGGCTCGATACATTGGAACTCCCGCCCAACAAACTCGTTCGCCATGAGCGCCTCGAATGCATATGCTCCTGGGTTCAAGTAAAATATCCAGCGGAACCAGACGTGCATGCTTTCAAATGGAATCAGGTAGCCTGCCATTTCCTGTGTTAAAAAAATAACGAAAAAAAGGCGAAATATAGATTGACATACCTCCATAAACAAAAAAGACAGTGGAGAGCAAGCCGGAGATTTTGGAGGCGTTTCCAAATTTCTTGCAAATCGCACCAACTGACCGGAAAAGCTGAGCAAAGCAGAGTGTCTGGGCGATGATGATGACCCAGAAGGTAAAGAATCGCCCAGCATCCATCTGGAGGGCTGACATAAAGTACAGAATGAGTGCAAAGCATGTTACTTGCACCATAATGACTGGAATATCTGTTATGGCGTTTGCGATGCAGAAGGCTGTCGGACGATAGAATCCGAATCGCTTTTGCCGAGAGAGAATTGGGCGGCCCATGAACGACTTGGTCGTTTCTGAGAGTGACTCGAGAAGGAAATAAAGGATGGGGAAGAAGAGGACACCGGGACGCAGGAAGATAGAACTACTGTCTTCGGCAAGGTTGTAGAAGAGGGAGCCGCAAACCAAAGCCTGGAGGATAGCCGAGACGACTTTGACCACCAGGGAGAATTTATCCCCCCACATGATCTGGAATTGTCGAACAGTACAAGAGCCGACTTGCTCCCAGAGCCCTGCGGTATAAACACTCTTCTGTCGAGGCATATGATGCTTTCGCTTTTCTCTAGCCACGGCAAGCTCCAGATCTTCAATTTCGTGAACAAGCTTTTCCGTAGGCTCCATGGTATCAACCTGATCACGATAGATCGAACTTTGGTGGTATCTTTCCTCAAATTCCTCAGGAGTGTTTGGGACCTTTGCCTCCCATCCGGAGCGAACGATACGCTCCGTCAGGACGGTGACCGAAGTAAGAAAGTCAGCAATATTAGCCCCCCCTTGGGAAATCGAAACCCATTCTTTCGAAATACTCTCTTGCTAGAGCACGAGGGCCATAAAAGGTCACTCTTCCTTCCGCGAGAACAAGAACTTTGTCGAACTGGTCGTAAATGCCATTACCGGCTTGATAGGTGGTGGCAACCATGGTCTTTTCATTTTCGTCTGCTTCACGGCGCAGCATACGAGCAAATTCAACCGCAGCTTTAGAATCCAAGCCTCGAGTGGGGTTGTCCCACATCTGAACAGGACTCTACTCACTCGGATTGTTAGCTTGTTCCAGATCAATGAGATACCATGACTGGGGATAGAACGAACCTGTCCTGCAAGAACTTCAGCAAGGGAGACACGCTTGCGTTCACCTCCAGATACTCCACGAATGAACTCGTTGCCAACAAGAGTCTTTTTCGTGTGGCCGATTCCCAACGAGTTGAGAATATCATCTCGTTTTTCGCTCACAAACTCCTTTCGGGCGGTTAGCCCTGGGGGCCTTTCATTTGGAATTTTATTTCGCAGAGCGAATTTCATGGTTCGATTGACAGTAAGTGTGGGAAAATGCAGATCGTCTATTCCAGTTTTCGTTAGTGACATTTACATTCAGTGATATGTTGGGAAGCGCACCTTCGTTATTGAACATGATCTGCTGGCGGTATTTCTTCGCGTCTCTGTGGTCCAGACTTCCGTACATGGTGTCACCACTGATTTCGTCGAAAGTTTCGCGGTCATTTGAAAGCACTCGAAGGAGTGACGTGCAGCCGGAGCCTGGTCTGCCAAGCACGAGGAGCTGCGTATTTCAGTCAGCTCCAGTCCTGTAAATCTTTGAGCAGTCGGTAGTTACCATTTCTCCTGGTCGCACTTGACCGGAGACATCTTTGAGAATTGACTTCGAAATTGTTAGCTATGTGTTGTATCTTTTCCATATCATCCTGCATACCCTTTTTGACTTTTTCTTGTTGAATAGGTTGCCAAGCTGGCGTGGGTCAACTTCCGACCAAAGCGTGTCGCCTAGGGCAGCATCGGGTGCTGTAACTCGGACAGTGAGATCGCGAAATGTGACAGTCAAGCGTTTGCGAATTTGGCTGTTGCCGAATTCCACATCCACTGGTGTTGCGGTCCCGGATGAAGGCGTCTCCATCCTGGTGATGATGCTATAGGAGCAACAAGCGCCTCTTTACCAGCGTAAACGCTTGATATACAAGCTTAAATAGCTGTTTGTATTTGATGACCTTGGTAATTCGGTAAGTCTCAGCCGGGGTGGTCTTTTTTCTTATATCTCAACACACAGATTGCTCTTTGTGCATCTAGATCCATATTTCCGAAGATGTGGGTCGTGGCTCTAGGATAAGGGGATTGCGGATCTGAATGGCGCGAGCTATCATTAAAATGGGCCCCGGATATGCTGAGTCATATAATACGGCTAGGTGAGCAAATCACATTGCTAGAGAATGCTATAAAGCCGAGCACGGCAATATATCATTTACGCCGGATATACTGGTCTGCATATATGTATCTTCCACGCCCTTCCCTGATCAATAGCCTCCCAGTCCGAGTCCCGAGTGATCCACGGTGATCCACTTTGGATCAATCCTCTGATTTAGAAAACCTCGGAATGATTTTCCCGCTTTCGGATATACAAATTTGATTTGATAGCTCTGGCTTTAGTGTCGACAAGCTGTGTTGGGTTGGCTTTTTGTCGAGTTGCGTTGACGAAATATATGCAAGAAGTCATGTTACCATCCCTATTGCTCGGAAAATGAACACAAAATCACGTCAGAGTCAACCTCCGAACCCATGATGGACGTCCAAGGTCTGCAGTATAGGTATGTATTGTTTTTCTCTGTCGTGCGATGAAATTCTACGGTCAACTTCTTCAGCTCCGAGCCGAGGTTAAGTTGACTGTGGACATTTTCAGGCCTCCGGTTTTGCTTGTGAGTTAATAGATTCACTGCACTCACTAGAAAGAGAGAATTCACAAAATTATTGATAAAATAAGCTATGAATAGAATTGTAAGACATAAATTAGCTTTTCCTTGACATTGCCACGAGTCTATTGGGGAGCCGAAGAGCCAATGGGAGGGTAAAGAGAAAAGAAGGCTTCTAGATCCATAGTCGAGAAGTCAAAATTCCAACCCATATCAGATTGTGTGAAGTCGAGAAGGTCCTCACTCGAGCCCCCTGAACGCCCCGTTTCAGGTGATTCCAGAGGGAAATTCCACTGGGACGCGGGAAAGTCTGGAAGTGGCCCGAGGAGCGAGTTCGCAGCGAGCGAAGCACCGGCTTGAATTTTCTGATCCTCTGCAACTCTAGAGCCCTGGGTGAAGGCCATTGAGTTATCGCGGCGAAGAGCATAGTCGTTTTCTTGACTTGCGTACGGTAACCATTCATATGATGGATTGATGTTACGCAGTACAGTTTGGATGGCTCCGATTGTACTTTGAATTGGATCGCCCGCTCGCATTGTCGATAAGTTCTGCAGAGTTGCATACGCCCAAGGTAGATGATTGGACGAAGCACTTGGATCATGAAGTAGGTCGTAAATTATTGTGAAGACCGAGCTGCCCATGAAATAACCATGGTACCGCAGTTCCTAATAGGATGTTTTAGAATAATGCAGAAACGAGGATTCTCGTGATTATTGACACACCTTGACTAGGTCGTTGGCCTCAGAGGCCTCGCACAAGTGATGGATGGTTTTTCGGGCGGCAGAAAGAGCATGATTACAGGCTTCGTTCAGCCATGACGGAATTTCATTCGGGCGATTGTGGACCCGAGTAGCAGACTGGCTTGATGGCACATTCCTACCTCGTCGCCAATGCCCACGAAAGATGAGAAACGGCCGGAAAGTAAGTAGAACAGTATGGTAGTACACTAGGGAAGGTTAGATGCAAATATTAAGAGAAATCGAAATGAAACTTACGCGTTACAAATATCGTTTGCCGCACACCCAAGGAGCCCGTTCTGAGATCGGCATCAAGGCCGAAGCCTAATGCCTGTTTCATGTGCAACTCATGTGCACGGAGGTCTTCTGTGATTGACCGAGCAACTCGCCACATGTGCAGCAATGACTCGTGACTCTCGCTATAAATTTCCGTGGTTGACCGTGAGATTGTCTTGCAAAGCTGGACCAGTAGTCGGATGAACGGATCTTGTGGATATTCAATGGCAACGTCGCGCAATGACAATGAACTGGGTCGACCCGCGTGGAAGCAAAACCATCTAGAATAACATTGAGAAGAGCTTTTCAGAGAATCACTGTGGGTTTATTCACTTACGTTTCAAACATGTATAGTGACCAGAAGGTAGTTCGTCGCTCCTCGATATTCTCCGGGCTTTCAATATTGTCATGGGGAACATCCTTGTGTAGTCCTGCTGAGATAGCTTTTCGAGAAGCTACTCCGAGGTGCAAGAATGCGGAATTGGGCCGACCCTGTTCATTCTGATAGTTGGCGTTTAATCATGTCAGCTGGGAAGTTTATTGGCTAGGCGGGAATGGCGGAGAGACTTATCATGAGGACGGATATTTGAACGGTCTGTAAATTAACGACATCATCGTAAGTTGCAAGCGAAGCCTTGACACGGTCGTATAAGATATCACCCCAAGAGAAATACTCGGTACCAAGGGCTGCCGTCGCCAAAATGATCAGAACGATAGCTTGAGTCAGTGTATCGGGGTGGGCAGAAGGGGATGGGTCGTATAGCCGCTCTAGGCAGCTTTCATAGTAGGCCTTTGGACGGTACGGCGTCATATGATAAAGGCTAGACAAGAATCGTGACATAAACACCCTGGCGAGGTCGTGAGGCAAAAACATGATTGGGGTATCTCCCCTCCGGTTGATTTCCCAGGCTCATGGTTATCCGGTGTACCAAAGAAGATCCGCCGGAAGCTGAATAAATCCAAACCTGCACTGGCCTCATCCACGCCGCCTGATGGTTCTGGTTGTGCGGTCGGGTTGGAGACGAGATCCCTGTAGATGTGCTGCATCAACGAAAAATGCGAAGTCGGTCCATAATAGAGCTGCATCTGACAGGATGGCGATGCCATATGCGTCGCCGAGACACTATTCGGGAAATCATGCATGAACGAGGATCTTCGCTGCTGGGCTGGCTGGGCTAGGCCCGGAGAGGCTGCCGGGGGCTGGGTTTCATTTTGAGCTTCTTGATATTCGTGTTTCTTTCTTCTGTGGCGGATGAAATCCCGGTAGTTACAAGGTGTTTTTCTTTGCTGGCATGTTTTGCACCTTGAAGAATTCGTCAGACATAATCAGCAGTCGGTGTCGCGTCGAGTTGGTCTCACGGGTTTAGGCCATTGCAGCGGATTTTGCGCTTTCGGCACTCCTGACAAGCCTTAGGAATGCGCCATCCGCTAGTGGGGTGATTCGAAACCTCAGACATATCCGAGCCAAGTCCACTGTGGTGTGTTAACGCGATCCTGGCAGTTGTGGATGGCTTTCTGTACTGTTGAACGGTTGGTCTTTATCCGCGACATCCGTCTATATCCGACTACACGTGACTGGCCTTGTATCCACTTGGTTTGTTTGCATTTTTTCTTTATGAAGCTCTGAATATTGTTTAAATAAGGACTGGAGGATCTCAGCACACTGAGAAAATTATTTTATTTCCACTCAATGTTACCGCTTATCTTTGTGAGCCTCCGACCCCGAATTTAAGGCTCGATCATTTGAAAACGAGAAGCGTTGGTATCTTGTGCAGGGCCCCTTTTGCATATTCCTGCGCCCGGGCAGGGCTTCCACGGTTTGTGAGATCGGGTTTGGGTATTAATTTAGTATATCCCAAAAATCGGTGTTTGAGATCGAGATGCATCTAAACTTGGACGAACCAGAGTGATCCAGGGTGTCTTGTTAACATGCGCGTTGCCACTGACTGCAGGGGCATTTGCAATCGACCAATCATTCTTAATATTTCCCTCGGAGTGGGGAGGTCCCATTTCGACTCAAGAAAACGGAGGGAAAATAGCAATCGGCGATCACCCCATGAAGCTGAAACTCTCGTCTATTTCTGCTGTCTTTATTTCACTATCCGATCGGAATAGACCCGCATCCGACGGAACGCACTCCGACTCAAATGTCTCTTGGCGATGGCGTCGATTTAAGTTAACACATCTCTGGGTATTGGCCAGCGATAACTGGTATCGCGTGCCCAGTAATCTCGGATGAAGCTCTCGGTACTTGCACTCCGGGTTTTTAATGGATCTCACCTCGCAATCTGCCGTGGAAACGAGGTCTGGGGTCGGGGTTCACGGATCGCCTTCAGCCCCAGAGAGTCTGGGGAAGCCGAATCCATAAGTTGTGGGGAAGCAGCCGTATGGTCCCGCCCGTCAAATCCTGTCGTTGACTATTTGACTGTTCGTAATCATATGTCCCACTTATTACCCGACCATTCAGAGTTCCAGCCCCATTCATCGCACTATCAACCCTTCCTACGAGTACTTCGTACTGATCTTTCGTCCATGTAAACGAGGCTTGGTGACTTGTCGGATGGTATCACAATGATTGATATCGGTTTAGACACAGCTTCCGATGCCTCCTCTCGCCTCCTTTCGATTTATTTTCCATTCTGAACCTCAGGACCGGTGTCGCCTCGTCGAATCCTTACTAGAACCGAGGTGCGGGGGGCCAAAGCAATTGGCCAAGTGACGCATTTTTTCCCGTCTGCCAAGATGCACCCCCCCCCTTTCTTTCGCCTCCAAACGTCAATTTTGGAGCTTGGCAATCCTAACATGGGGGATTCAATCAGCCGGCATTTCCCACGGTTCGAAATTTCCCCACGACTCCAGATCTTAAAGCTCGGGTCTTCCGGAATCCATCCCGAGCAAACTCAAGCCCATAAACGTCGCTGCTTGTGCTGACCTGCCAAAATCTATCCGAGGTTACTCGAACCTATAAGGACTGCAGTACCCCCCCCTCGCTGAACTCCCGTCATTATCTTGCGCACTTGAATAATTCTTTTGGTTTCCTTCCAACCAGGTGTTGGAGTCCAGCTCATTTTCCACCATGGCCACCTCCGCTGGTGCTGCTGAATATGTCGGGGATGACAAGGCCATTGCAGACCACAAAGAGACATTAGCGAATGAGGTCGCTCGTGATGCCGCAGAACGCGGCCATCTTGCAACTGATCAATTCGGTCATTCTCTCGTGGAGTTCGACAAGAAAGCTGAATCGCGCCTGCGATTGAAGATTGATTTTTACGTTGTGCCTACGGTGGCGCTCATGTACCTCTTCTGCTTCATTGACCGCGCCAATATTGGTAAAAGATTCTGCCACCGACTTTTCTTTGAATGTTCTTGCACTGACTGTCATTCCCGCTTCAAGGTAACGCGAAACTTGCCGGATTCAACGCAGACCTCGGCCTAAAGGGGTACGACTACAATGCGGTACTATCGGTATTCTTTATCTCATATATCATCTTCGAGATCCCGTGCAATGTAAGCGCGCATATACTTCAGCCATGCAATCGATCTGTTGGCTGACAGACTATTTATTTTATAGATTGCTTGCAAGTGGATTGGGCCCGGTTGGTTCTTGCCAGCCACCACTCTGGGCTTCGGTATCTGTTCGGTTGCTACAGCGTTTACCCACGACATTCACCAGGTTTCCGGAGTCCGTTTTCTGCTGGGCATGTTTGAGGCCGGGTTGATGCCCGGTATTGCCTATTATCTCAGTCGTTGGTACCGTCGAAGCGAGGTAGGACTCTCCCATGTTGCCAGTTTGTTATTTCGACTACATTTGCTGACCCTCAGCAGTTAGCCTTTCGCCTATCATGCTACATCGTCATGGCTCCCCTTGCCGGTGCGTTTGGTGGGCTGCTTGCCTCTGGCATTCTGCGCCTCGATAATTTCGCCGGTCTACATACCTGGCGGATGATCTTTGCCATCGAGGGTATCATCACAATCGCCATTGGCGTCATTTCCTTTTTTACCTTGACTGATCGGCCTGAAACCGCCCGTTGGCTCTCGCAAGAAGAGAAAGATCTGGCAATCGCCCGCGTTAAGTCCGAGCGTATTGGAACAACTGAAGTGCTGGATAAAATGGACACCGCCAAGACACTGCGCGGTATCTTCAGCCCAGTGACGATCACTACAGCGTTCATATTTTTGCTGAACAACATCACTGTGCAAGGGTTGGGGTTCTTCGCACCAACCATTGTTGCAACTATCTATCCCAATGCCAGTGTGATTTCCCAGCAGCTTCATACTGTTCCTCCCTATATCGTAGGAGGATTCTTTACGCTACTTTTCCCCTTTCTCAGTTGGCGGCTGGATAAGCGGCTCTTGTTTTTTGTCCTTGGCCCGCCGCTCATGATGGTCGGGTACATCATGTTCCTTGCCAGCAAAGACCCCATGGTTCGTTACGGAGCGACATTCATCATTGCAAGCGGCGCATTTGCTTTTGGTGCGCTCTGTAACGCTAATTCTTCAGCAAATGTCGTTTCCGATACTGCACGATCTTCTGCAATCGGCACCACTGTGATGTTTGGAAATATCGGCGGGCTGATTTCCACTTGGTCCTTCTTGCCCTTTGACGGACCCGATTATCACATTGGAAATGGTCTCAATTTGGCGACCGCAACAATGACCTTGATCCTGGGTTCATTGATGTGGGTGTTTATGTTGTGGGACAACCGTAGACGTGAACGGGTTGATATTGGCGCTGCGCTGGCGGGTCTGTCACAGAAGCAAATTCAGGACATGGACTGGCGTAACCCGGCGTTCAAGTGGAGACCTTGATTGGTCTTGCTCCAAGTCTCTTTGTCATTTGTGTGGTGGTATTCGGTTCTCTTCCTTTAGTTTTCTGTTATGAGACTAATATTAATGAGATTGCGTCTTCGAATGACCAACAGAATTCTTGTCCGATCTTTAAAACAGTTATTTTTATCAATCTTGTGTTGAAATGTACGCTGTAGACACGGAGATATCCTCTGTAATCCCCGAGGTCCGTCATGCCCCACCGACTTCGTCCAACAAGCGCTGTCACCGCAGCCCTGCCTTTCTTGGGGGACAAAATGGTGGGTCAGGGGCCAAAGATCCCCGGGACCGGGAAGAGTGCGGGAAGCAAGCCTTAAAAGACATAAATAACGGCGTCCTGGGATCCCCTCTACGATTCACAAAAATATAAACCATCATCAATATGTCTTGCGAGGCCTGTCGAACCATTCCCCCTGTCATTGCCCAGGGATATACCCCTAAAGGCCAATACGAGACGATTGCGGGTCTGAACACCTGTAAGTGATCAACTTCAAGATTCTTTGTGTGCCCCCTCAATGATTTCCAGTCTACTGATCGACCTGGAAAGACGTTACCGGCAAGACGGATGGACGCGTCGGGATTGTGCACGTTTACGATGTCTTTGGACTGGCCAACCAAACCCTCCAGGGCGCTGATTTGCTGGCTGCACGGCTGAACGCTGTGGTATTGGTACCCGATTTTTTCAAGGGCGATGCACTCGAAGCGCATATGATCCCTGCCGACACCGACGAGAAAAAGAAGCGAATTGGCAGTTTCTTGGCCACTAGCGCGAATGTTGAGCGCAATTTGGGGGTTCTACTCGCAGCCGTTCCAGAGTATCGCGTGCGGTTTCCCTCTGTCAACAAATGGGGTGCCAATGGCCTCTGCTGGGGAGGAAAGGTGAGTCTTGACGGAAACATGGTGATTGTGATGTGAGGCAGTGTTGACATTGGCAACGCAGATGACGATCCTAGCATCCGGGTTCAACACGCCTTTCGCAGCCTCGAGCCAGTGCCATCCCGGGTACGTATATTCTGCTCCTCTTGCCTCTGCTAAGTTCGAAAGCTTATTCGATTATAGCCTGATGGATGCAGCTGATGCCCAGTCGGTCGCCATTCCTCATCTTGTACTCGCATCGAAGGACGAGGCACCCGAAACGGTCGCAGCGTATCGACCGCTCGTGGCCCCCAAGGGCGGCGCTGTCGAGACCTATTCAACGATGTGGCATGGTTGGATGGGAGCTCGGGCGGATCTTGAGAAGGAGGAGAGTCGTGCGGAATATGTGCGCGGGTGAGTTGATCGCGAGGAATCCCTAGTCAAACGTGAAAAGTCTATCGGTCGGGTCGCTAACAATTCAACAGATACACACAGTTGGCCGACTTTTTCGAGAAGCACCTTGCCTAAGGCCAGAACGACTGATCGACAAATGGCAATTCTTGTTACCGCTACAAGAGCTCTATATTCTATGAAATGGCGGTGTACCAACATGCCGGAATCAAAAACCAAGTACAAGTACTAGTTACTACAGTCTACTACCTAGCTATTCCTGTACTAGTATCTACTGACGAGTAGTAGTAGTAGGAGTAGATACTACTAGTAGCAATATATATCATCAATATTCCTGGATTCCTAGCTCTCCAGAACAACTACT